TATATATATAAATTGGTTTTATTTTGTCCAGTTCTTTGTACCCTTGTGCTTGGGTTGTTGTTTTCTTTTGTGGTTTATTTTGATTCCGCCTTTCTAAAAGAGTTGAGTGCACTCTCACCTGAGTGGCATTCGCTACTTCTGGTCGCCGTCTCGCACTCTGTTGCCCTCCGGCTGGTACGGTAGGGGTCAAGGGGCGGGGTTGTGACAAAACTCAACGTTGACCCCTGATGTAGACCTAATGTCACTGAAAATTTATTTGTCTCTTTACTAGTTGTTCGCACATTAATAAGCATTTCCTCGTCCATGTCTCTCACCAAGGCGATATAGTATCTGAAGACTCATTTCTTTTCTGATACCCACTAAATTAAATCTTGAGGTACTATATTCTTCGTTCACCCTAAATTCCTCATTGGCATAAAACCGAATTGGTTTTCTAATGCACTCATTTCATACCTCAATCGTTGCTTAGTCACTCTCTCCCAGAGCTTCATAGTGTGGCTTACAAGTCTATTGGAAACGGTTGTTTTAATGTCAAAAACCCTCTAATTGATCATCTCGACATAAAAAATTATGGATATGAAAAAAAAGAAAAGAAAAAAAAACGAAGATTTTGAGAGTGAGAAACAATGCATCTTGCAACACATTATCTAGACCCTCTATTTTCAAGATTTCCATATGTTATAAATCTACTTAATTTTAATCATTTTGGGAATTTAAAATTTTATAATTAGATATAAAATAAATTTTTAGATAATCCTAAAAATATTTTACACCAAAATTACATGCTATGATAAAATTTGGATGTGCGACTTAATTGGATTGCTTAAGATTGCAACCTTATAGAAATCACACCCTTAAAATGAACTTTAATGAATTAGTAAACTACCACTATCGATAACGGGTCCTTCCGAGCATGCCCTTACCTTGTCAATTCTAAGATATTTACCACATTTATCTGTTTTTAATAGGGAAATTTAAATTTTGGGATTGTATACAATGAGACCATTTCCCTTCTAAACAAGAAGGTCACAATTACTTATAGCCATCCGATGTGAAATCAGATAGCTTGGAAGTTCACAAAGTTCAAGAAAATTTCTTTTGAACTTTGAGATTGGTCAATAAATAAATGCAGCCACCCAATTTCACATCCAATTGTCAAGATTAATTATGACAAAAAAGTCAATGGTCATATTAAACACTTTCCCTTAAATTTTTAGGGGAATGATTTCATGTAACAGTTGTATAGTTGTATAATGCAATCATCTTCAAAAACCATGTCAGACACATTTGTTTGACACAAATTTTTAAATGTACACTCTTTTCATTCTGAAGAACAATCATAAAAAAGAAAATTTTTGAAAAAATGCTCTAGAAAGTTTTCATTCTAGCCCAATTAATATAAGCCGTCCACTTTATTGAGATGGTTAGATATAGACCTCAGAAGGATTTTTTTTATTCCCAAAATTTTTGTATAGCTTTATCATCATTAGATTAATAATATGCTAAAACAAAAAAAAATGGTTTTGAATTTGTTAAGGTCTAAATCTTGAAATTTTATATAGCTTTATCATCATTAGATTAATAATGCTAAACAAAAAAAAGTGATTTTGAATTTGTTAAGGTCTAGCTCTTGAAATTCACCACATGGATGGTCGAGATTTATTATTGGATGGGTACTAATTTTGACCATAGGGTGCAAATTGAAAAAAACAAAATTCGTACAATTGATTATGAGGATGAAAAAAAAAAAATGTGTACAAAATTTAGGGTCATACCAGTGTTTTAAAAAACGTCGAGTCGAACCGGACTCGCCCGGTTCGACTCGAGAATCGGCACAGTCTATGTCGATTCCGGTATTTTACACGAAATCGCCTGATTTTAGAGAGAATCGAGTGATTCTGTACAGTGAATCGCCGATTCACTGTACCGAATCGGCGAGTCCCGTGACGAACGCAGGTTGCACAGTGTTCTTCACGGGTTTCATCAAATTTTGTCCTTTTTTTTTATCATTTTTCTTCTTTTTTTTGCCATGTGATCGAATATTCAGGCTTTATGCACTTTTTTCAGCCTTTTAATGCATTAAATGGTGGAAAAATTTCAATTTTTTGGATCATGAAAGTTGCGGGTTTTAGGGTTTCCACTTTTCGTTTTGTTTCATGCCAAATAGGGCATGAATCTGTGAAAAGTTTTAGGCATATTGATTGTAAATGTGTTCATTAGAAATGTCTGTTGCGAATTTATGATTATCTTTCAGAAAAACAGATTAATTTTGAGATTGAAGCCACGGGTTCACGAAACCACGTAAGAACTCTGCGTTTTTTTTTTTCCACCATTTGATCAATTTCAGTCCATATTTTAAAAATAATCAGTTAAATTTGTAGGGTTTTAAGTCTTTATCGTGTCTTTTATCATTTACCATATTCAATTTTATTTAATTTACTCAATTACAGCCTGAGTTTTTAGAATAACACAGTGATGTCTGTGAAAAAAAAAATTAAGCCTGTTTATTTTTTTTTTTTCTACCTTTTGCTCTATTGTTCACGATATATTATAAATAATGTGTTAGGTTTCTAGGGTTTTGAATCGTTATAGTCTTGTTTATAATCAGATGTATTCAATTTAATCTGATTTATTCAATTTGAGCTTCATTTTTTAGATTCAATGATTGTTCTCATTGTTGAATTGCGTTTTTTTTTTTTTGCTCAATTTAATCGATTTGATTTGATTTATTGATGATAATGGTCATAATTTAGGGTTTTGATTCCTTATAGTGTTGTTTATCAAAACATGTACTCAATTGGATGTAATTTATTTGTTTGGAGGTAGATTTTTTAGTTGAAATGGCTGATGTAAGGTGGCACTATGAAGAACAGATTTTTTTTTTTGTAATCCATGATCGAATTTTTTGAAAATTTGTGATTTTTCGAAAAGATGTGAAAATAGTGACAAGGTTTGGATTATCATGAGGTATTAAACCATATTTTTAATATTTATTGTTTGAGTTTGATGTACTTTTTTTTTTTTTATCCATGATTGAATTTTTTGAAAAATGATGATTTTCCTAAAAGATGTGAAAATCGAGCCCAGGTTTTGATTATCATGAGGTATTAAACCATATTTTTAATTTTTGTTGTTAAAGTTTTTGTTGAAAAAATTGCATATTGATAGATTATTTATGCAAAAAAATGCATGTTATTATATTTTTAGAGCAAAACTGTATTTTTTTAATTTGATGTTAATGCATTTTTGAGTTGGAATGACTGATGTTAGGTGGCACTGTGAAGAATTGTTTTTATTTGTTTTTTTTTTAATACATGGTCGATTTTTTTTGAAAAATCGTGATTTTCCGAAAAGATGTGAAAATAGTGACCAGGTTTTGATTATCATGAGGTATTAAACCATATTTTTAATTTTTATTGTTTAAGTTTGTGTTGAAAAAATTGTACGTTGATAGATTATATATGCAAAAAAATGCATGCTAATATATTTCTAATGCAAAATTGTATTTTTTTAATTTGTTGTTAATGCATTTTTGAGTTGGAGTGACTGATGTTAGGTGGCTCAGTGAAGAATTGTTTTTTTTTTTTTTTAATACATGATCGATTTTTTTGAAACATCGTGATTTTTCGAAAAGATGTGAAATAAGTGACTAGGTTTTGATTATCATGAGGTATTAAACCATATTTTTTATTTTTATTGTTAAAATTTTTGTTGAAAAAATTGTATGTTGATAGATTATTTATGCAAAAAAATGCATGTTATTATATTTTTAATTCAATTGTATTTTTTTAATTTGTTGTTAATGTATTTTTGAGTTGGAATGACTGATGTTAGGTGGCTCTGTGAAGAATTGTTTTTATTTTTTTATTTTTTTTAGTACATGATCGATTTTTTTTGAAAAATCGTGATTTTCCGAAAAGATGTGAAAATAGTGACCAGGTTTTGATTATCATGAGGTATTAAACCATATTTTTAATTTTTATTGTTAAAGTTTTTGTTGAAAAAATTGCATGTTGATAGAATATTTATACAAAAATATACATGTTATTATATTTCTAATGCAAAACTGTATTATATTTTTAATGTAATTTTTCATTAAAAATGTATTTTCAATTTATAAAATTTTGAACGCAAAAAATACATGTTGTTAAATTGTATTATTGCGAGGAATTAAAGTGAATATCATTGTAAAAAAATCGTGTCATGTATGACAATTATATTATCTTGCATATTTTCAATTTTATTATTAAATTTTTAATGCAAAAAATGTATGTTCTTGATAATTGAGTTGTCGCCATATTTGGAACTTACATTTTTTATTATATTATCCTGTTTGTTTGTAATTGATATGTACGAAAATATTATTGTCAATAGAAGTATTTTGCAATAACAAATAACAACAAATATAACTACATGAACTGCCCCAACATATTATCACTAATATCAAGGATTCGTTTTTAGATCGAATCAATGAATTGTCAAACGAATTCAATCAATAGTACCAGCGTGACTAAGAAGAAGAACAATGTCGCCTGTCATTTTATTTTTAGCTCGTATATTACTAATTGTATGCTTTATTATAGTCCATGTATGTGGATATACTTATTCCATAATAATTTTATATTTATTCTTTTGTGTGATGTAAATTAAATGGTAAATACTAGCTCATGCAGGGAAAGAACATATCAATATTCGTATATTCACATAAAAAAATGAAAATTCTTAATGGAGTACCTTTATTTCTTATTGAATTCTTAAAAAATAATATTTATAATGAATTTTAATAATCTTTTCAAATTATTTTAAAGCTTTAATCTGACCCATTTAATCGATTTTTTATCCGAATCGCCGATTCACCTATTTTAATCGGTTTTTGAGACGTTTGTCCGGGTCATTAATCCGCTTTTTTAACCATTGGATCGTACATATTCCAAAACTATGATTTTTTAGAAGTGCGGGTACATTATACTCTTGCATTATATCATTTACCAAATTTTTTTATATGAACCCAAAAAGTTACAGCGAATCTAGTGAGCTCCCACGGGGACGGTAGAATCTTTTCGGCAAAACGCGCAAATCCACTGCAAGTCTCGTCATGCCCCTTCCTTGCTTAATGGAAGTTCGAAGCTTTTTGTTCCTATTCTCCATTTGCTTCACTGCCGCAATCGCCATCTTACTAAAACACTCATGTGAATACTCTCTCTCTCTGTAAATGTGTCTTTTGTCTTGGTCTTGGTCTTGGTCTTGCATTCTTTTGTTCCTTACAAATAAATGGTGTTTTACAGCTACATGGGTACCTCGAGTTCTAATGAGAAGAACCCATTCCAAGGTTGCGGATTTGGTAGTCACAAATGCCACCATATTTACAAGCCATCACTCTCTTCTTTTTGCTGAAGCCATGGCCATTCAAGATAGCAGGATTCTCCATGTTGGGAATTATTCCTCTGTCCAGGTGGGTTGATGATAAACCAACCCAATTCCTTTTTTCTTAATGTTTCATTTAGTTGAGAATCATGCGGGGGGCTCAAACCCAGTACAACCCAATTCATATTCTATAATGTTATTTATTTTTTAAGGATTTTATGGTGGAAAATATTGGAATTTGAACCTGCTTTGTTACTCAAAACAACCCAATTCATCTTTGTGCATTTTGTTTAATTTGAATGGTTTTTAATTGTCTTCGTTTATAATTTGCAATAAGTTTTGTGAAGCAGTACTTTACAGGAAACTTGTTGAATCATGGAATTGGGTGCATTTTTTCTTAATAACTTTGTTGAATGATAATATTGTATCTGGTTTCTTTTTAGTAAATTTGTTAAATCATGGAAACGATGTTCGTCTTTACTTCTCTTGGTGTGCAGATGTTGTCATTGTTCTTTGTGATTAATAATATCAGTATGATTCTGTGTTTCAGGATTTCATAGGCCATGGGACTCAACAACTGAATATTAAAGGGAAAGTGGTGGTTCCTGGATTTATTGACTCGCATGTACACTTTATTCCTGGAGGCTTGCAGGTTGTGAGATGTTGCTAAGCTTGCTAGTTATCAATTAGAAGTTAGAACAAGTTCAGTTTTTGAAGCTTGCAGGTCCTAACTTGTTTTCTTTTACTACTAGTTGCCAAAGGAGGTGGATGTCGAATTTCCCTTTCCTTTTTTTTTCTCGTGGGATAGCGTTTTCTCTATCTATTGTGCTCTTCAATGCGTAATGAATTGAATCGTAGGGTCAAAATCTGATTTTGCAATGGAGAACATGTTCATTATGTATTGAGCCCATTCTTCAGATTTCCTATTATTTCCATATTAAGTGGTACAGAACCCAACTTTGATCCAAGTATATAAATTGAACCTATGTTGGCCATATCAACCATTAAACTTGAAAAATATATCTGTGTTGTGCATTATTAGTTATTTTTCCATACGAGAAAAATATATGTTGGTGCTTTGACAGCGTAAAACATGGGTGATCTCAAGAGTTCATTTGCACGCAGGGCAGAAGATGATTTCATTTCATTGAGGATATTGACCTCTTATCTATTGAAGACAAAAGTCAAAGCGCTGAAAGCAAAAAAACAAAGAGTATAGAATAAGGAGTTTTAGCAACAGCAATCCATTGTCAGTTTACAAACAATATTCGAAATTGATAACTTTATGTGGTAAAAACTTGTCATTGCATGATCTAATTATAGAGGGAAATATGAATGCAGCATGACACTTGGATTCCTTTAGTTTCCCCAATTTAAATATGGATGCGATAGCACAGTTCTGCACACAAAAACTTAACATCACATTTCAACAATTACTTTTATCATTTTGATCCAAGACACGTTTGAGGTTACAATTGAGTTTTTTCATAAGTTGATCCATTTGTGTGTTATCTAATGATCTTCATGGCCTCAATATATATGCTTCAGTTGGATTTGTTTGAAAAATTTAGCTGACATGTTAACTCAATAGCCTGCTCTACACAATGCATCCTGTTCTACTTCTAGCTGTTGTTTTTTAAACTTCTATAGGAGTATGCTTCTATTGAGACTCAAAGTGTTTTGTCTAAGTGCTCTCCCCAAAAGCACTCGCAAAGCGGCTTTTGGGCAGCAGCAAAAAGCCCTCAACAACGAGGGCTTTGATGTTGCACTAACGACTGAACTCGCTGGGGCTTTGCAAATTTGACAAACTTGCAATGTTTCATTATTGATTCGAATGCTAATTGTATTTATTTGTTTAAAAGCAGATGGCACAGGTGGAACTACATGGTGTGAAAAGCAAAGATGAGTTTGCATCAAAGGTCAAGGAAGCTACAAAAGGTAACTTTTGGTAGCACTCTTTTCCAAGAAGGAAAATTTCTCATTAGAATTAGGTATTATATGATAAGTGGCTTCCATTGGCCTTTGGTTCAATTAGGATAGTTCTTTGAGATTTCTTACATGACTATGAGTAATTCTCTGAGACATTTTTTACCAATCTAGATGCATTTTATTATCTTGTCTGTTTCCTTCTCTATTAGAATTATCACTTCTCAAAAAATAATAAACAATTAGTGAGTGAAGGGAATCAAGTATGCTAAAGTAGGTGTCTATATGGGGCCTTGTCTTGCTCCAATGTGCGCGCTAGGAGTTAAAGAAGGCATATCAATGGTTGGCTGAATTGCACAATGTGAATGTAATCTGTAACTCAATTCTATATCCTGAAAAAAAATTTCTTAAAGAAATAGTTACTTGCATTCTCTTTTTTTGCTTTGGAGTTCTGCTTTCATTGACCTGCTCTTTTATATTGTCACTGACAAGATAATTTTTGTAATGTTCTCTAGGGAAAGAAAAGGATTCTTGGGTCTTGGGTGGTGGGTGGAATAATGATCTTTGGGGGGGAGACTTACCTACAGTATCTTGGATTGATGATATCACACCCAACAATCCTGTAAGAGTTCCCACTTCAATGGTGGACAATTACCACGGGTTGCCCATTATTTTATGACAAGATCACTTGCAGGTCTGGCTATCACGGATGGATGGCCATATGGGATTGACCAATTCAGTGGCACTTAGGAATGCTGGAGTTTCTAAGTACACACAAGATCCAGTAGGTGGAAGTATAATTAGAACTGCAGATGGAGGTACCATGTCACATATTTTGACCGTAATTTCTTGAAATTTTTTACCATTTTTGTTTTCCCACTGTTCGATATGTGACTTTTCAAAATATAGTTGTTTTTGTTTAGGTCAGTGGTCCAAAACTCGCTGATGGATCGGAATCGGAGGATATCCTAGCTGATTTCCAATCAGTATTGGGAATCAGCCCTATTCCCTCTAATTTGCATAATTTTCCATCTATACTATGTTTGTTTTATGATTTAAATCATCAAACAAACATATTATAGATGGGAAAGCAATCGTTTTTTATTCTTTTCCCTTTTCTTTCTAATTTTCTATTGGATCACTGATGTGGCTGATCCAAGATTGCCCAATTTGGCCGATCAAGGTCGGTAAGTATAGGTCTGATCCAACACCTGATTCTGAGTGTTAGAACTGTGGTTTATAAATGGTAGTTTATGCTGAATAAATTTTTTATTTTAATTCATAAAAGCTTGTACTAGTTTTTATGAATTTTTAAGTAATAATACCTTTATCATAACATGTCTCAAGTTCCAATCAAGGTATTTATTGATTGCTAGGTTCTTTGATTTGATTGTTCATTATAACTCTGAATCACTTGCTTTTACTTGATTATGCTCTTTGAAACTGCATTGCATCAGTTAATAACTTAATTACGTTCCTTTAAATTGCAATGCAACTTTTTATGGTCCAGTTATGAGAACAAGGATGTTATGATTTTTGTTGTGCCTTGTTTTTTGGGAGGCATAAGTTAACAGGGACTTGAAGCCTCTTATGCCGTGACTACCAAAGGGAGTCCAAAAGCAACTTTTTGGAGCAAATAGAAGTTGAGTCTGCCTTCAACTACTTTGGTTGAAAATAAAGTCTTGTCCCCCCAGACATTGTCATTTGGAGAATCTTCTATTAACTATGTTCTCTAGAAACTTGCTAGTGATCTTAACTCTTTGTGCTAAATATATTACTGATTTCTCTCTGAAAGTCCTATTGATTAATTGTTTACATGTTCAATGTTTTACAAATTGGTAAATGATCATCTTACCTTTACCTTTTTTCATTAAAAGCTCTATTTTAAATGCATAGCATTGATATGCATGGCCTGTGTACCATGAATATGGAATCTGCTGAAGTGAATCTTTGTAATGGAACCTATGATTGCATCAATTATGAATTTATTCTAGAATTAGAAAGGTTTTTTATGTTATCTGTTTTCTTAGAACCAACTGGATTGCTGGTTGATTCTGCCATGAAGCTCGTCGTTAATTGTATACCTGAGATCTCAATCATTGAGAGGAGGAATGCCATGTTAAGAGCAAGCAGATTTGCCCTTAGTAGGGGAGTGACAACAGTAGTTGATCTTGGTAGATTCTATCCTGGTGTATCAATAGAACTGTCATGGGAGGATTTTAAAGGTAAAACTACTTTAAACCTCATGTTACCCTGATTTTTGAAGAATGCTAGTTTCTGTGATGCAATACTCTCTCTCTCTCTCTCTCTCTTTTCTCTTAACTTGCCCAAAAAGATATATTTTTTCTTGATTAATAACCATACATATGTTAATCCTAATGCCCAAGGGTACCCAAAACAAACATGTTAACTGAGGGATGATAATAAAATAGCAGGCATTTAAAGTTATATGTATAAATGGGAAAGAGCCCTTGACAACAGCACCTCTTTCCTCATTCCTTCCTTTAATTTTTATGTGGTAAAAAAATTGTCAATATAGTACAGATGCAAAATTCTTTGATGAAAAAATTATTTCATGGAAAATAAATATATTCTTCGAATTGCAGTTTATATAGTGCAGATGCGAAATTCTTTGATGAAAAAAATTATTTCATGGAAACATATATATTCTTCTAATTGCTTCAAACTATTGACTTAAGCATGCTTTGGGTCTGTTTTATTTAACAGATGTTTACAGCTGGGCTGATTCTACTGGGAATATGCTTATCAGGATTTGCTTATTTTTTCCTATGGCGACATGGTCTCGCTTGGTTGTATGTCAAGCATCCTTTCTGCTAAATCTTTTTGTTCTTTCTGCTAAATCCTTCTGTCATTTTCCTCTCTTTTATGCTCCTTGGCATACCTATTTTACAACTATCAAACTTTCGATAATTTTCTGAATATTTAAAATAGAAGTAACTCTTTATTTAATGTAAACTAAAAGCAAACCATTTCAGTTTTATTTTTTTATTTTTGATGGTGGTAAAGTGAAATGCAAACTTGGGAAGGCTCTACAGTTCTTTTAAACTAGCGCTTGTTTACCAAATCCAACCATAGTACTGAAGTTTGGCATGCTTGTGTGAGAATGATGGAGAGATGGGTGACCCCACAAAGCCATCTGGAAAAGAAGAAAAGCTTGTCATGGCTCTCAAAAATAGATCTCTAAAAGATGTCTGATAATTTGGTTCTTCTTAAACATTCCAAGAGCCGCTAAAAAGCTTAGTTTTTTTTTAAAATCATCTGCATTAATGGCAAGTTTCATAAATTTTAAAATTTGGGATCGAGATCCAACTACTAAATCTGGTAGCAAAATATTGGAAATGGTAGAAGAACTAGATTCAAACGAGTGGAATAGACATAAAGTACTTGAAACAGATGCTATGAAGACAAATCATTCCATAGCAATTCACTGTTTGGGAGACGGTACATGAGCATTTCTCTATTAACACTAGGCTAGAATGCCACATTTGGATCTTTCATACAATATATGACTAGAGTTTGAGTCAGTAGGCTTCCAGCATGTCCTTCACATTGCATGCTTATGATACTTGTCTCATTTTAAAAGCAGATCTGGATTCAGTTGCTCTCAGAATGGTCTAGCTATATCTAATCTGCAATACACAGACAATACCATAATGTTTTGCAGGGCTAATCCTGAACACATTCAAAACTTATGGCTCTTGTTGAGATGTTTTGAGCTCCCCTACCAGATTTTTCTCCTGGGTTTTTGCGGCCTTAAATGTTCATACACTTAGTTCTTGGATTAAGCTCTGTTTTTTGTTCCACATGTTTGTGTCCTCATGCTTTTATGTTTTATTGATTACTCTTTGAGTTGGGGTGTTGCTCTACTTGGCTAGCTAGAGCAGGGCATGAGCAGGGCGCTGGGCTTTATCTTGGACATGGTGCTCCATCATTCTCAGTTTGGCATGCAGCAAGGCCTTGTCTAGATGAGTGAACCCACACCCTGGGCTGTTTGTGGTTTGTTCCATGATGCACATAGCTGCAGAGGGTCCATGAGTATCCTGTTGAGGTTGGCATAGCCACGGTTGTAGGTAGTTTGTGGTAAGAAGATGAAAGAGGCTCATGTGGCGTAGGATGTAGATGAGTTTATGTGGACAAGTGCCTGAAAACCTTGGCAATGAAATCGTACACAGCATGCATGGTGCTAGTTGCCATGGACCATCATGATCCTGGAGATTGCTGGGTTGATGTGACCATTAGCATGCATTTTTCCTGAGATAAACAAGGAGGAAACCTAGGGACTCCTGGACAAGTATTCTTGGTCTGCATAGTGGAACCTAAACTTGTTCTTGGGGAGTGCACTTGGAATCTATAACTATTTGTAGACTGACATTTCTATGCCTTGGCTAGCTTTAATAGGCCAAGCATGAGCCCCTTGCATGGGAGACATATGGCTCAAGGGCTGGTGGATTAATTTAGGGTTTAGTTTTGGTCATGGGGTAGTCATGGAATGCTTGGTTGAGGGTTTAGTTCCATTGATTTAAGTAGAGTAAAAATGATTTAATTTTCTTTATTCAATTTTCTTTGTTTAATCACCTTATTTATATGAAGTGTTTTTTTCCGGGTTTACAACAAGGTTATTCATGGAATATTTTGCTTTAGAAATGGACTATTTTGGACTTAGTTGTTTCGTCAGAGGGGCAATTAAGGTCGTTATAGAACCGTGTGGAGGAAGGTGATGGACATGGCTCTGTTCCATGGGGCTTGCACACGGTTTTGCAACTCAAGGAGGGTGCATGCAAGCAATTTAGGAGTTCCTTGTGCCCCACTGTTTGGGGGTGCCATGTGGCATGCTACCATTAGAGAAATCATGTGAAATAAGGTGGATGCCCTTGGATAATGCATGAAGCCCAAATTAAGCCTTTAAAGTGATACATAATTCTAAAATATCTAAAGGTTGATCAAATACAAATTTGTTTTTGCTGTAAAATAATCTTGAAAATCCTTGTTGGATTATATTTGGAAGGGAAATTTATCAAAAAACACATGAAATTTGAACTATTTGATTTTTTGCCCTAGGTTGAATTTGATAAATTTCAAAACCCATATATTTTTCAAGAGAATAAAGACGATTCAATTTTCTTCATCTAATAATATAAATTATATGAAGTGTCTTTTGGTATTAAAAAGGTTATTTGTGGATTAATATCAATAACTTCTGTTTTTAAAATGGACAAGTTTGGAGTTAATTAAGGTGGTTATAAAATGGTGTGGAGAGATGGGGCATGGTTTTATTCCATGGAGCTTTCATATAGTTTTGCGACTCAAGTAGGGCCACACACTAAGTTTTAGAGTTCAAATCGGTCCCACTTGTCTGGAGTGCTCCTTGGCATACCACCACGAGAGAACGTGTGGAATAAGGTTGGTCCCCTTGGATTATGCATGAACCCTAAATTGCTCCTCTAAAGTGAAATTCTAAAATAGTTTAAGGGTGATTAAATAAAAATAAATTTGTTGGATTTAAAGAGGTTCCTTGTTAAATTAGAATTTAATTATTGTGGGATTTAATTATAGTTAGGAATTCTCATAGGAGCTTCCAAATAGAACACAAATATAATTGGACGATTGTTGGAAGTAGGATTTCTCATAAGGATAATGGTACAAGATCCACCTGTAATTCATGATGGCTGAGCATGGATGGACATTTGAGAAAGCTCTTTAACGCCATCACTCTCCTGAATCTAATGGAAACTAGTAGATTTGTTTTCTTCTCTAGCCCTATAGATCTCTATATAAAGGGTACCCATCTCTTTATGCATCAATTCCATCTTCTGAATAGAAATGGGTGGTTCTAGGGTTTCGTGTGTTCTCTTTCCTTCTTGAGAGATTTAAGAAGAGAGGGAGGGGAAGCCTTGCACGCAGAGACTTCTAACCTTTGAAACACACCTAAGTCAGAGAGAAGAAGTGAATTAGTCTGCTGTAGTGGTGTGCCATCAAACTAGGAGATTTGATGGTGTGTGCCATGTCTAAGAGGGTGTTTCGAGGCAGATTTTCTAGTCTTCTGTAGAATTCAGCTGCTTTGGAGTGCCTATTTTGGAACATGAGTTCAGGTTTTCCTTAGGCAAGTTATATTTCTGGTATTTCTTTTTGAGTCGAGTTTCTCACGGTAAAATGCTGGAGGAGGCAGGTTTAAGAACAAGGCGATACATGGGTTTTAGTGGAAGATCTTGTGTCTATATTTGTACAAACTGGTGAAAATTTATAATAAGTAGTACATGTAACTGCATCAAGTCTCCCACACTCTCCTTTGTGGGCCACATGACTCTTCTCATGGCAACTCTAGCTAGCATCCCTATCTTCCAAATGTACCTGATTAGTGTGCCTATCTATATCGTTTGAAAGCTGGAAAGTTTGATAAAGAATTACCTTTGGAGTGGCACTGGGAACTTCCACAAGTACCTCCTTGTCAAGTGGGACAAAGTCTTCTTGCCTAATAGGTAGACACCTAGGTATCGGGAGGCTGAATGAAACCACTACCACCCTCCTTGGCAAGTGGTGGTGGCATGTTGCCAGCCACCAGGACCATCTACGGCGGTCAGAATTTAGCATCGCTATGATATTGATACTTGGGGTTAGTTTCCCAAATGCACCACCACAGCGAGATCATCTGGAGCATAGAAGGCAACCAGCAATGTAAAACAGAGCTTTCCTGCCCATTCGCTTCCAAAACTAGGGGTGACCTCACAAGGTTTTGGAGGGATAATTGGACTGGTGACAGTACCCTTGAATCATCCTTCCCTAGACGCTTCACAATTGCCGCTTACCAAGAAGCCCACCATAGCCAATCCATTTGAAATAGTAGATGGGCACAATAGCATGGATTGCCCTATTTCAGCAGAACCTAAATGATGCAGAAGTATAACTTCTCAATTTCATGGAGACTCTAAATGCATGATTCATACCATACTGAGGAAGGGACAAAATAGTGTGCAGTCGCACACCAGGAGGAAAATTCTGTGTCCTCCTTCTGTAAGGTACCTTTTCCCTTAAACCTAGACCCACCCACAGCTAGAAGGGTGTGGTCTATCTTGGTGCCACCCAACATCCAGGCCTAAGTGGTTACTGGGCCTAAATAAAACCCAAACCGTTGATCACATCAAAGGAGGTGGTTGCTTCTTTCCAATTGCTGTTCAATGCTAAAAAGGGTATCTATTAACCACTTCTTCATCCATTGCAAGGTCGCCTCGCCGGTCTGGTAATCCTTCCTCAAGCTTCTTGGCCTGTATTGCGTCATCTTACCCTACACTGTAATGTTCTTCCAAAGTTATTGTTCTCAGCCTTTCCCCCAAACATGCCAGCTACTTTGGCGACTTATGCTGGTGATACTCTGGGCTCTATGGCCAGAGCAGAACAGAAGAATCTTCCAAGGCACGGAGCTAAGGGTGTCCAGGCTCCTTGACTGTATCACGTCAATGGTCATTCGTTATCTCTTGGCCCCTATCTTGCAAGGTGTTCTCCAGGTACTTCTCCACTGGCCTTGCAAGACTGGAGCAATAGTAATTGTTACAAACCCACAGATATAGGTGGATCCTCTCTCTGAATCCACCTGGCCAAATGTGATTGAATTAAACTTTGATAAACCCAGGCCTATCTGGTTAGGGTTTTGAGTGTTCAGAAATTCCCTTGGCGAAATCTTATCAACTATTGGCGGCCTCTATGCTGGCTGAGACACTTGCACTCCTCACTGGACTTACGCTTTTATATCAAAGTCAGGGTACCAAACTTTTCCTTGAAGGGACTCACAAATGTTACAAGGTGGGCCCACCGGGGTCCTCTGTGCCCATGGAGCTTGGAGCATTTTTTTCAAGGCAAATTTTCAGTTATCCTTCTCACTCCAGGTGTCCTTCATACCCACCTAGAAAGAAGCAAATGCAGGAGCTAATACCCCAGCCAAGAGTGGAGTACATGCTTCTAGCCTATCTGTAATTTGGCAAATTACCTCTTTAACTTGGGCCACCCTTGCTCTTTTCAACAGGGCCAAAAACCCAATTTTGTATAGTAACTGACACTGATCGAGACTCTTTTTGTTTTGAGTCCCAATTCTGTACCTATTTACCTTTATAGAATCTCAATGCGATACACTTTGTTACTTTCGAAAAATAGAGGAAATAGAGGTTGTTGTAAGTTGCAGCATTGAGTATGACATGAGAGCATCCTATAAACTGTTTTCCTCATGACACCGTACTTTGATATATCTCGGAAGTTTATGTATCTTACATGCTTTTTCCTCTCAGTCACCAAAAGATATATTTCCTTGAAATTCCAATTTTAAGTTGTGTTAGTTGTTTTGTCATTTTTGTCAGGATACTTTGAAACACACAGGCCGGGCTCTGAGTCAGTGGCTCTTTCTGGGAGGTGTCAAAGCATTCGCTGATGGATCATTAGGCTCCAACAGTGCATTGTTCTATGAGGTGATATAACTTGCATTATTTACTGCTAAGTGGTTTTTCTTTGATTCCCCTTTACGTACTTATTTTCATTATTTCATAGACTGTGCATGATATAAAGTTGGAATATTGTGTATGATATCTCAGCCCATAGTTAGTCTCTTTTGGCAAGCGTTCTTTAACTAATATAAGATGTAATCATGGTTGTCTATAGCCTTATGTGGATGAACCCACCAATTATGGGCTTCAGGTGACAAATTCAGACTGGCTTCTAAACAACAGTATTCTTGCAGACAAATCAGGACTTCAGGTACTTGTGGTGTCCAGAAAATAATCCCCTGTTGTTGTGTACAATTGTTTTAATCTGAATGTGCCATAATCCTTTCAAGTAGTGTATGCAGTACCCCAAAGGGACATTCACCATCAGTCCACCTTCCTATGGGTGAGATTAAATATAGCTGAATAATTGTACCAGTGGCCCTATTACATTTAATCTCCACCGTTTTTGGTGGATGCCCCTTTGGGGTATGATGTACCATACTGCTTTGGAATATGATATACCTTCCCTAACGATAGTTAATACTATGTACCTTTTGTTGGTATCATCTTAGGTTGCTATTCATGCCATTGGTGATAAAGCTAATGACTTGATCCTAGACTTGAATGAAGCTTTGATAGCCACCAATGGATTCAGAGACAGGAGATTTAGGGTATGACTATCTGATACTTGAAATATATTGTGATTGCAGTGCATATTTTGCTACAGTTACACCCCATTTTCTATGGGCACACAGAAACTTATGTTTTGTTCCTCATATTGTTTGTTTCATTTCTTTAGGGTGTTTTGGGTTCTGTTGGGGGGGAGGTGGGGTTTGGTTTGGGAGGGAGGGAGCAAACAGAATAGTTTGGTATCCAAATCCTATGTGTAATGTGAAATTAACTGTTTCAGATCAAACATAACATTTTGATATCCAAATCCAGGGAGGGATGGAGGGAGGGAGGGATCAAATAGAGATTTTTGATATCCAAATCTTATGTGTAACGTGAACTTAGTTGTTTCAGATCAAACAGAACATTTTGATATCCAAATCCTATGTGTAATGTGAACTTAACTGTTACAGATTGAGCATGCTCAGCATTTGTTGCCAGAGTCAGTGAGTCGTTTTGGTAAACAAGGGGTCATTGCTTCTGTGCAGGTATTCAAATTCATATATCAATGAATGATCACTCTTGCCTCCCTGCATTTGTTGTCATTTCAGTTCACTCTCTTTTCTTGAAGAGAAAATTTCTTGGTGTTTTCTTGATATCAATGTTCAAGAACCCATACTTGGTGATGGACTTGGTCACTACTGATACCACGTTGCATCATTGAGTTAAACAGCTAACTCGGAAAACTTCAGATGAGTTTTTAAATTTTTATTTTATTTTATTTTTTAAATAAGAAGTCTCTGTGATGGGATTTGAACCTAACTCATCAGTTATCTACAACTCTAAACTACTTTATTACCACATTACGAAATGTCATTTTGTTGTCAAATAAAAACCAAAAAATTTTATGTATAGCCGAGGCTCTAAACAATCAAATTACAGCCCACCTCAAAACTTTCACTAGAACAGTTGTTTTGTTGCCCAAATATCTTCAAATTGATCATCTCGACATCAAGATGCATGGACATAAGAAAAAAATGGATTTCAAGTTTTGGAAATAGTGAATGGATTTCAACTTTTGGAAATAAGGCATCTTGTAACACATTTTTGGACCGTCAATTTTCAAAATTTTCAAGTTTTCGTAGATCTGCTCGATCTGCACTATTTTTGAAGCTTTAAATTTTATAATTAAAGATGAAAATATATTTTAAGGCTATCACAAAGATTTCCAGTATTGAAGTCACATTTCTTGATACTATTTGAAGGTGCGCTTTACTTTGATTGTTTAGAGCCTTGGCTCTATACAAACCACACCCCATAAAAAATTATATATAGACAAAAACTCGGGTGCATCTGAGTTTTCCATTAATAAGACAAGGCAAGTGGGTGATTCATGTTGACTCAAAAAGTATCTACGGGTTGAAAATGTGTATTTAGTCCTGCTTGATGTTATGAACTGCAATTTTGACAGCCGGAACACCTCATGGATGATGCTAACAGTGCTGCAAATAAGCTAGGGCAAGACAGGGCATATGCAGAATCATATCTTTTCCATTCATTATTATCAAGCAATGCACGGCTGGCTTTCGGTTCAGATTGGCCAGTAAGCATTCTGACTGTTGGTATGGCCTTTTGATAATTTGAAACCAGAATGAGTGCTTTGCTGGACTAAATTAACATTCAGTTCTTATATTCAGGTTGCAGACATTGACCCGTTGGCTGGAATCAATGTAGCTGTGAAGAGAATGCCTCCTGGATGGGAGAAGCCGTGGATTCCATTTGAACGTGTCACTTTAAATGAGGCCTTAATTGCGTATGAATTTCTTCACCGATGATAGACCTTTTCTCTCAATTGGATAGGAAATGTTCAAGCGCATCCAATTTCTTGTAGTCGACTGAATTCGGACTAATTTTATGTGACTCAATTCGTCTGTGGAGATATGTTAGGAACTTGAGACGTTTAGGTTGAATTGTGATGCTAAAAAACAGGTAGTTTTGTTTCTGAAAATACCTGGAGGAACTTCAATTTTGATGGCCACCAATTGGATTCTTGTCATACATAGTGAAATAAAATTGCAAGTATTAATTTGCTGGACTGTACAATGTCTCTTTTTGATGCAGGGAAATTTGGGGGAACAATAAAATCAGCAAGAAACAAGCCAGACACAAAGCACAATTTGAAGAAACCTAGGGTTTCTTTTCCAAACCCAAGCTAGGATTCTAAAAGCCTAAGCTTTTCTCTTTTTTAATTTCTAAAAATCATGTGGAATTGACCCTTTTAAGGCCCCACACACCTTATTTATTATAATTCAATGCCCAAGGACATTACATGTCCATACAATAATTAAAATGACCTATATATCCTAACTTAAATTTTGTAATGAGAAATTTACCCCTATAAATAGTACCCATGAATAGTACTCATGAATAGTACTTGTAAATAGTTCCCATGAAATAAACAAAAAAATATAAAAACCCCTAAAATCCCTAAAAACTAAAAACCCTAGAAATAACCCCTAAAAGCAAACTATAATATACATCCTTTAAAGTTGAATAAAAATAAAGAATAAGAACAGTTTATCCCTCCACTTTTCATAGTTGTTTTAGTGCTGCGTTTCTTCACCAGCTCCTCTGTACTATACTCTAGACATGAAAGACAACAAAAATGCAGAAGCATTGTAGGCTTACTTATTTTAGAAAGTCATCGAGAGATTTCTTGAAGAGCAGAGGGCATAATTATATTAATTAGAGTGAATAAACAAAACTAAGAGTTCGTAATTTCAGCTATATGCTTATTTTTCCCTTTGAACCACTCCATTTTGTTAGGGTGCTTATGGACACGACTTTGATGAATCATGCCATTGGATTTTAAAATATGTTGCATCTATGGGATAACGATCACTTCTCAAGTCTTATGTGCAAAAGACACATATCAGATATGTTCCTATGAGTTTGGTACCGACAGCTTATCCATCACGTGTCAACCCTTGAGACACACCACTCTCACTTGTTTCATTTTTCCTTTGTATTTAATGTAATGCTAGGGTTCTGATTTTTGTTTTTTTTTATTTTATCAGTAGTAATCTGTATGCACTCAAAGGACTTGTGATTCCCTAAGAAGGTTTTGGAGATGCTTCAGGGTGTCCCTTTCTGCTTGAGATCAGAGGATGTGAAATAATGGTTTTTATAATTTGTTTTACTCACCCGAAAGAGAAGTTACATGAGGGAACGTGAAAGTAGATCATAAAATTCTCACTCTTGATATAATTAAATTTTGTGTTGTGCTCATGAGTGAATACTAGCACCTTCAAGAGGGTAACCCTCAAATCAGACACACACACGGCTAGATTAGAGACCAAGTAGATGATAGAATGAAAACTCTCTGCAACCTCTGTTTGTTTCTTCTTGGTAGTGCAATGGTCATCCCATCCGTCCTTTTTCTATTTAGGCTTAACTATCTGAACTTGTTAATATGATAGACAGAATAAAGGCCATGTTTTGGGATTTCTCCATGTGGAACACAATGGCTGGAACTGTTCTCCACCAATTCTGAAGTAATGTGAATGGCGGCCATGTGCTGAATTTTATTAATTATTAGTTTTTCTTAGCACATAATCAATGCATATATTGTAAGTATCAAGTTATACCCCCACAACAAAGTTACTTGGGTATTTATATGAAGTTGACCTTAAGAGTTTGGCGCTCATGGGGATACAAGCAATTATTTTTCTTCTTTTCCAGGATTAATCTTCGTTAATTTTATAGAATAGGCACTAATATGGGAACGTTCTTGGTGTTGCAGGCACACCATTTCAGCTGCATATGCATGCTTCCTTGACCATGAATTGGGTTCTTTATCATCTGGGAAATTTGCAGATTTTGTGGTCTTATCATCAGATTCTTGGGTTGATTTTGAGGAGCATGTATCTGCCTCAGTTTTGGCAACATATGTGGGGGGTGTGAAGGCCTATCCCTAAATCCATTTCCGAATGCCTAGCATGTGTATGTAGTTTTATCAAATTTAAATTTTTATTGTTTGTTATAAATAACTCCATTGTACACCGTAAGCATGTAGAAATGATCATGGAGGTCTGTTATCTATAGAAGGACTATTTTCTTGTAATAGATCGTCCTTCTCACAAGTATTTTCTTTTTGGTTGGCCATATAAACATTGTGATAAAAGCTTTTAAGGATGCATATTCATTGTACAGCACACAGCAATTATGAAACTTGTAATTCTAGTGAGAGGTGAGAAAATGAAAGCCTTAAATTTCCCTAATCTGTGTGGTGGTAAGTCTGATGTTTCAGTGTTGGACTTAGTGCCATATTCAAAACAAAATATGTTTTCAGTGAGTGAAGCATTTTCTGGCCCAGGGCAGGTTCCATGAGAATGGTAGCACCCTCCTACGGAGGGAAAATTTTATAGCAACATCCTAATTTTGTTGGGTACGTATTGGAAATCTATTACTTGGAGAGACTTATGTTGGCTAAATTTGCAGGTGTGAACATTTCATTTGAATTGTTGCTTCCCTTCAAGTAAGGTAAGGAGCTCGAGCACCTTTTCGTATGGGGAGGAGAAGCTGTAACTTCATTTTTACTGGATAGTAGTACTTAGAAACGACTTAAAAAGGCCGATGGACAAGTTTCTACAATAATTTGATGATCACAATTTTTCTATAAAGTTTGAATTTTAATAATTTTCTTACATCTAGGATAGCCTTAAATTTGGAGGGTGTGAATACTGGCTGGTTCAACGCACAATCGGCTGGTTAGATCATTTTTGTTGATCCGGCCAGGTATTTAAAAAAAAATTATATAAAGTCCCAAAAAACAAGGGATTTGTTTGTAATGCATTTTTTAATATATATATTTTTAATTTACTTATTATTTGGTAAAGATGGGAAAGTGTTTTGGTCCTAAATACTTATTTTTATATTTTCCCATCATTTTTGAGAAATTTTAAAAATATCCCTGGGTACTGGTCGATTTTTTAAAATCCATTGTTTCACTAATTTTCAACTTCATTTGGATTTGTTTTGTTTAATCATATGCTTTAAATATACTTTTCATATTTTATAAGTTTTTTTTTATATATATTTTTTATTTTGTTACCACTTTTTTGACCGGCCGGGACTTGCCTGGTTAGACTAGTTGAATCGGCCCTTGGTGGGTTTCCAAGGCCAGTTCGATTTGTTGAACACAGTGTGTACACCTCATTGAGTTCACCTAACAAAAATACAAAAAAAAAACTCAATAATAAAAATAACCAAACTAACCCTTTGAATATTTGAGGGGTATTGGATCATTCTATTTTTCGGTATTTATTTTTTTTTGATATTTTATTTTGGTGCATGAAAGTAAATATACAAACGTACCAAATTTTAATTAAATCAATTTTTAGAAAAATATTAAAGATTCAACATTATCAGATAATTGTGGCCATTAGATGAAATTCGGACGATGACAAGCTGTGAGCAAAGCTCGGACGATGACAAGCTGTGAGCAAAGCACTGTAGCCATGGAAGTTTTTAAGTATTTTTCCTTGACTTATTTTTACATTACAAATGCCGTTAATTCTTAGGAAAAAAATATCATCGGACCCCTCAATCACTTCCTCCCCTCTTTTTCTCTTTCTTTCTCCCTTAAAAGTGCCATTAATTATTATTATTATTATCATTATTATTATTGTTATTATTATTATTATTTATTTATTTATTTTTTTCTGAAAAAACAATCATGATATAAATCGGGATAACCCAATTACCCCTTTGAGCAAATCGGGATATCTCAAATCCCTATTAGATGTGGTGAGCCCTCCACATCAATGATTTCAATACTTCATTAACATGCCCAAGATGTAATTATAAGTGCAATATACTTGAAAAATAAATAAACAAGAAAACAAGTAATATGGGAAATCATTAAATAACAATACAAATGAAAGTAGAGAGGGAGATGCACATTTATGTAGTTCATCTACAATGGGTTATGTCCACGAGCAAGAGGCAAAGATGTATTCACTATTAAGAGGAAAACTTACAAGATTGAAGTTATGTAGTTACTTCATACAATATCAAAGAAAGCTCAAACAAAAGAACTTCCTACCATAAAATTACCTACAATCTACTCATTTCTTTGATTCACCGATGCCGCAAAGAAAAGTTGATAAAATGGCCCAACTCGCACCCAAATGGTGGTGCTAAGGTTTTGTAGTAAAAAACCCTATATTTTCTCCCCAACCTTCTCTCTATGTTTTCACTTTCTATTTTTTCTTCTCATCTTTTCTCTCCCAACTCAATAGATTATAAACCCTCAATACAAATATTCATTAGGATTAAAATGATCTTTAACAAGTTGAGAATACCACATGGGATAGTGATTTGGCATCACATCTCAACAATCTCTACTTTGATACAAAATCACATCATTACCTTATCAATCCATCACTTCTTTTTTTTTATTGAAATCTAGAGAAGTTAGGCTTCATTCTAACTTCCTTAGCTAGATGGGTTTTGTAAGCATAGTTTTCGGTTTTGATCTTGACCAATCGAACTCTTTCACCTTCAACAACTTGCCGGATATAATGATAATGAACCAATATGTGTCTTAACCTCTTGTGATGAACTGGGTTTTCGGCCAAATAGATAGCACTCATATTATCACAAAATAGTTCTATGGACTTGCTCATAATGCCTATCTCACTTATCAACCCTTGAAGCCACACAACTTCTTTTGATGCCTCCATTGCCACCAAATACTCGGCTTCGGTAGTTGACAACGCTACCTTGTCTTGAAGCCTAGACATCTAACTTGCAAATCTATTTGCAAATCGAAAACAAATGAGGTAGTTCACCTACTTCTGTCAAGATCACTAGCAAAATTTGCATCTAGGAAACCTTGTATTGGGGTTGAGCCATTGTCAAATGTGTTTGCATCACTAGTTGTGCATCTTAAGTACCGAGGCACCTATTTTGTTGCTTCCCAATGAACTTTTTTGGGATTTGACATAAACCGACTTAGAACACTAATCGCATGCGTGATATCTGGTCTAGTACATACCATGACAAACATTAAACTTCCAATCGCAGTCGCATAGCGCACCTTAGCCATGTTTTTTCTTTCTTCTTCCATCTTCGGACTTTTCCTTGAAGACAACTGAAGTGAGGTGCTAGCGGTGTCTTCACCGGCTATGCATCTTTTATGCCAAAATTTTCAAGCACCATTTATATGTAAACCCTTTTGAGATAATGACAAAATTTCATTTTGTCTATCCCTTTCAATTTCTATCTCAAGGATTTTCCTTGCTAGCCAGAGATCCTTTATCTCAAATCTTTTTCTCAAAGAAGTCTTGAGCTCATCAATTTTAGCTTTATCTTTGCACACCAAAAGCATGTCATCCACATATAAGACTAAAATCAAGTATGTACTATTATCAAAGAACTTTAAATAGATGCAATGGCTATACTTACTTCTAGTGTACCCAAAGTTCATTATGAACATATCAAATGTTTTATACCATTGTCTTAATGCTTCCTTGAGCCCATACAAAGATTTTATCAATTTGAATACAAGTCCTTCTTTTCCCTTCTCTACAAAGCCTTCAGGTTGTTGCATATACACTTCCACTTTAAGTTCTCTATGCAAAAAAGTCATATTCACATCGATTTGCTCAAAGCTCTTAATCATACATAGCAATTAAATCAAGTACAAAGCGAATTAAGACTAACTTGATAATTAGTGTAAAAAATTCATCAAAGTCAATGGTTTGTTTTTGTAAAAAACTTTTTGCCACCAATCTTGTCTTATATCTTTCAAGCTTTCCATCAAGTCTCTTTTTTATCTTGAACACCCATTTATAACCAACGTCCTTTCTACATTTTGCAGCTCTACCAAACCCAAAGCCTTATTTTTATGAAGGGCTAGTATTTATTCTTTTATAGCTTTTTTCCAATGTTCGGTACCATCATTATCAATGGCTTCACAAAATGATGTTGGCTCTTCATTTTTTACTATCAAAGCTTGCAAAGTATTTTGATCCACATAATCTTTGTGCTACCTGGGTGCACAAGTTTTTCTAGTCGAGCATTGATGTGCCAAAGGCACAACTTCATCATGATGACCATGTGGTTCTTCATATTGACTTCCTAGTTCTTCATGTTCTTCACTATGATCAATGGGTATATTATCATAAGACATAATTGTACTAGGTGGAAGTATTTCGGGATTGTATTCAAATTCTTAGCTATTTATTTGCACTTCTTGACCATTGTCCATCGTCATCCCCTTTACCAATAGATTAGATTCATCAAAATTCACATCCCAACTAGTGATTGTTTTTTGGTTTTTGGATCCCATAACCGGTACCCCTCCACACCCTTACTATAACCCACTAAGAGGCACTTCTTTGACCTTGAATCCAATTTGTTTTTTTGTCAACTTGGAATAAGTGCATAGGCATAACATTTTTTTTTAAAAATCGAAATAGTCGCTAGGAGTTCCATATTATACCTCATTAGGAGTTTTGCTTCCCAAGATTACCGAAAGTATTCAAATGATAAGATAATAAGCCATTGATACGGCTTCCGCCCCATAATTCTTGTTCTAGACCGGCATTGCTTAACATACACCTCGCATGCCCATCAAAGTGCGATTTATCGTCTCGGTCACTCCGTTTTGTTGCGGATTGTAAGCCTTTGTATCATGCCTAGTAATTCCCTTGCCCTTGCAAATACTTTCGAACTCATTTGATACAAACTCTCCACTATTATCAGTCCGAAGAACTTTGATATGATGCCCCTTAGATTTTTCAACTTCGGCTTTAAAATTCTTGAATGCACAAAACACATCACTTTTGGACTTGAGAGTTTTGATCCATACTTTTCTTGAGAAGTCATCAACAAATAAACAAAATATAATACACATCCATAAGATGTAGTTGGTGAAGGGCCCCTAACATTCGAGTGAATATGATCAAGTTTGCACTTATTTGTATGTTTCCGAGCCTTGAAAGGTTGTCTATGTTTTTATCTATAGACACAATGCTCACAAAATTCGAATCCATCAATTTTAAGTGTAAGAATAAACTTCCTCTTCATCAGGACCTCCGTACCCTCATCACTCAT